TATATATATATATATATATCTAAATATCCATAAAGTTCTTATCGTAACAAATACATGTATCAAGTAGGAAGTATTTTGGTGGGATGTAGAGAATCTCTAGTATAGATGTTGCACAAACATGCACTCATCCAATATTTTTGGAGGGTATAGAAGATGCAAATTTTGGTTTATTAGTTACTTTATATAACCTATTAATAGCAAATTGATCTAAAACTAAAGGAAATTATAGAGTGGGTAGAAGCTAAGCTTAATGTGAAGGTGTCAAATATGGAAGTACTAGATGTGAAAAAGAATGCCATTAAAATAATCTTTAGTGGTTGGGACACGTCCTATTGATCACTCTATAAGTTCGTGAAGGACATCTATTTTGTTATGATAGAATCAGTGCAGAATACATGTGGGTCAAAAAAAATCATTTCAAGTGAATCATTTAGGTATTTTGACCTTCAATAAATAGATAAATAGATGGTCCTATTATCAAACAATATCTAGATATAATTACTCACTTCTCCTAAAAAGAGTGACTTATATCATTGAGTGATATGATCAAACTGCTATAAAGGGCTGAAGATTCACAAAAGTTATGTGTCAACCAAATAGTATATAAAATCGAGATTGTATACCAATCTCATGGGGAATGAATGAACACTTAAAGTCTGCAAAAATTCTAGTCTACTAGTTTTGAGTCAAGATTGAAGGTTCAAAATTCAGTGATTTTAAAGTTTCTAATCCTAATTTTTTTCCAAAAAGTAAAATATATATCTAGTTTTGAGTTTGAACAAGTGACAGAAAACCTCCATTTAATTGGTTCTATGTAAACTAGATCTATTAAGTTTACTCTAATGAAGTTGACAATCAAAAACAACAGTTTTTCTTACTCCCTCTCGATGATCACAAGAAAATTGAGATTTCATATTACATTTAATCCCCTAACCACACAAAAACTTCAGTGTTTAAAAGTTTACCTACATGACTGCACCATCCTAAAAAAAATATTCCTATTATCTTAAAGTAGTGCAGGATAACTTAATTATTCCCACTAGCCTACTCCATTATAACTAGATCTAACCCATTTTGACATCCTAAGTGACCAGTTTAGAATTAAATTATATGCAGAAGGTAGTAACTGAAAATCCAAATTACACATAATCATAAAATAAAAATGATACCATTTTGCATAAAATCCAGTTCAAGGCATAGAGAAGTTTAAGTCATACTCATTATAGTGAACACAACATAAATTAGATTGAAAATCAAAGCTTTACAAAGTTGGAGCTATCTCATCAATTTTTTTCCACTAGTTCACACTAAATCACAATAAAATATCTGAGTTTTACAATGTTTTGATTACATAAATAGATATACACTCACACTTACACTTGTTCTATCTTGAAAGAACACTCACTCACACTCAAAACACTCCAAATTTCTCCTTCAAAATACTCTGATTACTTCTGAGCAGTCTCCTTCTCCCAACCATTATTATTCAAAGCATTATCCTCTTATGATTGGAAAGCTCAAATTTCTTTGTATACATCCTATTATATCTATCAAGGGTGAAACGATGTCAATTGAGGCATCCCAATTGAAATCTAGCGCTTACGGGTGCCCATACACGTTTCTCTAGTTTTGGGCACTTGGGTGCTCAGAACTAGTGCCTAAGCACTTGTGGCTCTAGTTTCAAGCATCTAGGAACCCAATATGAGTGCTTAGGATCCCTAGACTAGTGCCTGAGCATCAGTTCAGCCTGATTCAACCCGATTTAGCTCACTTTAAGTCTGTTTCATCTCCTTTGACCCCCCAAGTTGTCTAATCACCTACACTGCATATACAGCCACAAATATCATTAAATTCATAATAATACATCAATAAAAAAATCATAAAAATAACATGCATATTTGAAACACATCATTGAGCTAGAAACTGTTAATGAATCACCCTTTACCATGGACAAGGTATGTACTACAAATGTTTAGGTGCAAGACTTATAAATTTCTCATTCTAACTTGTATAAATATACACAAATTTGATTTCTTTGACAAAACATTTAATTGATATGTGTTGTTCTTTCTAACATTGAGAATTTTATTTGCTCTTATCATTAGATGTAGATTTATCATCTATCATATACACATGTGATTGTTAACATGGGTCCCAATAGTTTGAACCCTTTAATATATCTATCTCTTTATTATACAAATGATAATTATAAGTGGACCTATTATAACGAATCTCATGTTATCAAAGAAAAAACACTTGTTAGGGTATGTCCAAACTAGTGGTATCATAGAACTCGTCGCTCATCCAATTAGACAGTGATTAGGTTGACCAGTTTCAAGATGATACACAAATATTTTGGATGAGTCTATAATATTATAGTAATGGAGCTTATAATATTTATACTACATGCAATAATAGATCAACATGTTAACATTATTCATAGAAAATAATATTTGAAGAATAGCCTGTAAAAAGTTATGTTTTCCTATTTGCAAGATGATTATATCTTACATAAAACTATTCTTAACTTATGTAAATGCAATTATCATAGTAGATTAAACTTATGGTGGAACTATCCCAAATAAGATCCATCCCAACAAAGCATGGTTATGTGCATCTCATTTTGTCACACATTCTAACATTATAAGTTCTAAGATGCACAAATTTATTTACTATATATCATAGCACTATTTAAAGTGCATCCCACATTTTCTTATGGTTATAGATTGGCCTATCACATATCCATATATGATTGAAGGTCTAAATAGCATAAGCTTTCATTATATTAGACATGTTTAATACATAATGTTAGACTACTACTTGTTGACAATAATAGTAGATGTTGGTCATACAAAACTAATACTTTTCACCTACTTATGGGGGAGATGACAATTACTTTGAAATATATTAATATGAGTTTAGGATTATGCATTGTTGGTCATCCTTTTATTGGATGAAATACTACCAGAGAATAATATAGTTGGATTCATAGTTTGATTGTTATAATGATCCACTAAGTTTTAATCTCAAGGCAGGAGTTTTGTACAATCAACATGGTTAACAAGTTAACATCCACTTTTGGATGGTACAAGCCCATGCTTAGAAATCATTATGGCTTCATCTACTTCGATGTATATTTTATTGTGAATTATACCTAGAACTAGATAACATTGAGTTTAATAGACATCTTTAGAATACTTCTATTCATCTTAGGCATATTTCTCCTTATTGATACTTTGGAAAGTGAGTTTGATTAGTAGTATTTACTGATCATAAAGAACTTAGTTTAGCTTTCAAATTATCTTCTAGATGGTGAAATTTTAGCATAATCCTACATGTAGTTACAAAAGGTCGCCAAGCTTAATCGTATGCATATCATTGGATTTGTATTGTAAAGATGATTAGTCTGACAATTAAACTTTTTCTCTTATAAAAATGCATTGAGATTCGTGTAAGGATAATTAAAATTAAGACAAAAAACTCTCTATCTAGACAAAATTCAAATAGGGAGTTTTCTTTTCACTCAAGGGTAATCAAACCATTAAAAACACTCTAAAATCATCCCAAATATTTAATTTGATCGTTATATTCTTCTCATCTTCTAATTACGAGGTATATGTTAGATGGCCGCAGTTATATCTGTAAATAGTTGTGAAATTATAGCCGAAAAAAGTTTTTTTAAAAAAAATCTTTTGAATTTTATAAACTGTCATTTAAGAAAAAAAAATAACAACTTTTTTTGGTAGTTATCACGCTTTAAAATTTTGATTTTAATAAGATATTTGTTATAAGAAATTAAATAAAAACTCGTAAAAACAGCCAAAAAAAAATTAGAGCTAAATTTTTACAAACACAATAAAAATTATAAAAAGTAAAATTGACTTGCATAACGTCTTATCTTTGCCTGAAAATGTGTTGCACACATAACGTTTTATGGCATGAAAATGTGTATTTATTTTTCAAAAATTATAATGGTGATAATTTTAATGTGATATGAAACACTTAACAAATATACTTACAAAAAAAATAAAATGCGGGACATTGGTAATATGCATGTAAATGCTCCCAAAATAAAAACAACGTCAGAAACAAAAAAAATATTTACCTACGTAATACGCACTTATAAAGATTATTTGGAGGGTATTGCAGTGTTATGTCGTTGTTATTAGAATTAATATCCTCAATAACATCACGAAATTCTCGAATAACAAGAAAGAAGAAAAATGTCGAACCACAAAATGTATTGATAAGTTATTGAGATGCTATTGAGTTTAACATGAGAATAGGCCCAAAGCAAAACCCACGAATCCCGCGCCGGAACACATTCCTCATTACTTGGAAATACAACAAGAACCAAAACGTCAGATGGAACACATTCCTCATTACTTGGAAATACAACAAGAAGAACCAAAACAGATGGTACCAATTACCAAACCAACATAAATATACACAAATCCACGCAGGAAACAAGTGTTGTTCATATCCATCAATCTCCCTCCTCATAACCACATGAAAATCACAACAGCAAATTCCTAAATCCTGCATTCCCTCATCCCTCCACGGTACATAACCGCACCCCATCCCCTGCTTCATATAACACACATTTTCAACTCTCCTTCCCTTCCTCTTTCTCTCTCGAAGACAATAAGATTAATGGAGGAGGATCGGAGGAGGAGGAAGGTGAATCTCGCCAGCAGACAGCCATTCTTAACCTCACTGAAGTCTCAGCTGAAGGAGACATTCTTTCCAGACGACCCGTTCCGACATTTTGCGGGTCAGCCCCCGGCACGAAGGGTTTGGAGTGCAATTTCGTATTTTGTTCCCATTCTGCAATGGATGCCGGACTACTCTCTCGCCTTCTTCGGCAACGATTTCTTCGCCGGCGTCACCATTGCTAGCCTGGCTGTTCCTCAGGGAATCAGCTACGCCAAGCTCGCCCAGATCCCGCCCATTATCGGACTCTGTAAAATCTATCCCCCCCTTAATATTATCTACAGCTTATTTTCAGTGCTTTTTATTAAAGTTCTTTTCTTTAGATTTATGGTAATGAGATATTATGATTAATTGATTGTGGCGAAATTGGTGAAGATTCGAGTTTCGTGCCGCCGCTGGTGTACGCGGTGTTTGGGAGTTCAAAGAACATGGCGGTGGGGCCGGTGGCGGCGGCGTCGCTTCTTATGGCGGCGATCATACAGGAGAGCGTATCGCTGGAAAAGGAGCCGGAGAGATACGTTTACACGATCATGACCTCCGCGTTCTTCACCGGACTTCTGCAGTTCTCTCTCGGCATCTTCCGGTGACTACCTCCTCCACCTTTTTTTTTCTTTTAATTTTATAAGGGCTCCCAACTCTCAAAGGAAATAAATCGGAAGCATTTACACATATATACCATATCACACTATATATATATATATAT